TAGCAGAGCACCAGCCACTCCTCATAGATTTTTGTGATTTTTCTTTGCATTTTACTGGCAGAACTCCAGACTGTATCAGTTGAACGAAAACTATGCCATTGCTACATTTTATCATGGGCAAGACGCTACATATTTTCCTCTAATGCCTCTTTTTTCACCCCCAGTTTGCTCCACTGCTTCTGTTACTATTATTATAGTACTGATCTAATGTTTAGGGAATTGGATTCTAAACCACCTGTGTTAAACACTCTATTAAGGTCTTTACCGTGTTTGTTGTTTCATTTATAGAATCATAGAATCATTAGGTTGGAAAAGACCTCTAAGATCAAGTCCAACTGTCAACCCAACACCACCATGGCCAATGAACCATGCCCGAAAGTGCCACATCTACATGTTTTTTGAACACCTCTGGGGATGGTGACTCCACCACTTCCCTGGGCAGCCCGTTCCAATGTTTGACCACACTTTCAGTAAAGAAATTATCTTTGGCTGAACTTTTTAGTAAGGACAAAATACCCAGTAGCTTTCAGGTGAAAAAAAAAAAAACCACAAAAAAGTTGCCCTAACCTTAATTCATCATCTGTCTCGCAGCTTGTTCAGATCCTTGCCTAAGGATTTGCTGCTGTTTCCTCAGGCTAGGAGGCTTCCTTTGCGGTCTTGTGAAGGCTGCGTACATCCTGATCTTACCTTGGTAGGACTTTGCTTGCTTCAGGAAGATTTTTCTTTCTCAGAGCCCTCTGTCTCCTGCTGAGTCACAGCAGAGATTTTGAAACTGGGCAGAGTTCTTACTGGCTGTTGGATTTCAACAAATTATTGTCCCTTGTGTTGCACATCATTCCTGGACTAACTTTTTTTGGGGGGGTGGTGCTTCACCCATTTAGATGTATTTGTGTGCGTGTGCTGGCCAAGAGAATTTTAGGACTAAAATAGAACTGTACTTGGAAAATTGAGCTTGTGTGATGTAGAAATGCAGATAGTTCAGACGAATTGGAAGAGCTGCTAAGTCATAACAGTATTGAGTCTGTCAGCACAGAGAGAGCAAGTGTATAAGCTGAGGTGAGGTGGCTCCATATTTGTTGTGAATAACTTTCAGATCCACTTCGTATCTGTAGCTGCGCAGGCAGAGAACAACAATCTAACAGGATAATGCAATGGGATAGCGCAGAAACTCCAACCATAAGAGGTTTTGGAGCAACATGGTGCAAGCATTCTTAGAGAGAGGGAGGTGGAATTGTCAGAAAATGAATCTATTCTTCAAGGATGCTGGGTGGATAATGAGTGCTGTCCTGGGGGAGATACTTGCCTATGAATTGCTCCTTGATCTGCAGCTTTTTATTGAGGTAAATAAGCTTCCTAATGGCTCATTCTTGTGAGCTTTCTCCTCTGCAAATAATAGTGAAGTTATAAAAGATCTGATCATAACGCTACTGCCAGTGCTGTAGTTGTTTTTCAGCAGCCTTTAGTCCAATGATTTAGTATTTGACAGTTTTGTCTTTCCAGCACTTTTTTGATATGGAGTGTATTGCCTGTCTGTAAATTACTCTTAGGTCTTTTTAAGGATCTGTAGCAAACATTTCAGCGTTTGCTAATTTTGGTTCTAAAAATGTCTCTTTGGTTACACCGTGGTACGACTGATGTCCGTAACTAATCTTCTACAGCTTTTTTAAATTCGGTTAGAATCAGTGCTGCTGTCTCTTGAGCAAAATTCTGAATGAAACAAGGAAGAATGGATTAAACCTCCTGCTTTCTAAAGCTCTAAACACTTTTCATGTAAGTGAAGTTACCATTGAGTCGGTGACCTCTAATCTCTGTCTAGTGCATGCACAAACCACATCCCCATTCTTTACCAGGAAGCTTTTACAGTTCTTCTCTTCTTGTTAGCGTACAGAACATACTTGGAAGATTTGCAGTACAAGCTCTAGCACTCCCACTTTTCTGAAAGCATGGCTGGTTACGTAACCTTATTTCCACAGTTCAGACATTTACAGGAAACGACATTTTTCATTACTTTAGAGCTGTTGCATTGGTTCTTCAATCAGTTCCCCACAGACTTAATTTTCACTGTTTCTTTCAGGAATGGTTCCCACGTTTCTGTTTCTCTGGCCAGGTCTCTAGTGTCTTTTTTTTTTGTTGTGGTTACCGTTGTGTGAATCAGAATCATAAAAGCCATTGGCAAAACAATATTAGTATCTTGGCCAGAGGAGCAGATTCTTACCGAGTCTGTCAGCTGGTGTTAGTCTGTAATCATTAATTGCATGAACAGAAGCACTGCATGCCATCAGCTGTGATACTTGTGATAGACAGTCATAATTTTTAGAACAGGTAAACCAGAGTTATGTGTATGACACCTAAGCTGACTTAAAAATTTCTTGCTTGATACTATTTGCAGAGCACCTTTTAAGGTAGTATGTGAAAATCCACAGAGAGGGATCACTGCCTTGCCTGTCTCTAACTGTGGAGAATTTTTCAACTCTTTCTCCCAAAGAGCCATGCTTATGGCTTATATTTGATCCTGCAATTGTTTCCTGCCCGGCTGGGCAGAGACACCATCTACCAGCAACTGTGCTGTCGCGCTGCAGCTGAACACATGGACCGGTGCCAGCAGGCTGGATTATTTTACATGAAGCCAATGAACCTGTTGGCCAAGCGTTCTCTTCTGACTACAGGCTTTGACAATGGAGGGTGAATCTGCGTCACCTATGTCCCAGTTCCTCAGTGACAGTCATTTTCTTCTTCTTGGGGGGGGTGGGGTGGGGGTGGGTGTTAACAATAACCACTTACTTCCTATCTTGGAACCCTCCAGACTGTGAGGCGTTTTCCCAGATTCAGAAGTTCATCCCAAATCTCCCATTTACAACATAGCAGAGTACGAACCCGAATTTCCCGTTACTCATAATCACCCGGCAACACTTCACGCAGCGACAGGCCTTTACTGATGGAACAATTGTGCAAACAACCAGGACCAACAGGCCTCAGGGCTGGCCGGAACAGTGGTCACGAAACAGTGCAGCTCGTGGCTTTGTCCCCCTTCCCTCCCCAAGAAGTAAAGGTGGAACAGACTGCTCATGAGCAACTCCCTTCCTTTATACACGTGATGTAGATTTACATCCAATTACCCAAGAACATTTCCAAGGAAGCACAGGTTCACCACACTAACAGCCAGCCTTGTCTCCTCTCCCCTGCCCCAGTCCTCTATGCCCCTCATCCTTCCCTGTCCCTCAGCGTAGTGCTAGCACAACCCTTTCGTGACCTGTTTAATGCCTCGTTCAGGGAGCGCAGAGAGATGCTGGTTTTAGCCATCTTCCCGGAGAACATGAAGAGAAGAAATAAAAGTTGGAGTGGGCTTGATCCTCTTTCCTGAA